GGGGCGCCGGGAGAAAGCGCAGCTGCCTCTTTGCCGCCCGGTGGAGGAAACAGAAAGTCAGCGGCTGTTTCGCGCTTCGGGCCTGGGGCTGGAAAGGGCAGGAGAGGAAAGCGGCGTGGAACGGAAAGGAGTGTTTAAGAAAGCGTGGGCAGCAGCCCGAGGCCAGACTTTTTAATTTTTTTTTTCCTTCCAGGACGTGAAGCAGATAAGACCTTTTAATTTTGTGTTATTTTGAAAAGCCAGTTCTTTGCCCATATTTGGGTATGGTGTGTATTTCTTTCTAGATGCATGTTTTTGTTTTTTAATCTGTAACCTAAAAAAACAGCTACTTTTTGATGTGTACTTCTTGCACACGCATTTGCAGCAAGAACTACGTTGCGTGGTACGCATGCTGTGTTGATGTAGCTTTAAGATGTCTAAAGTGGCCAGTTAACATGTCCATTTAGGCGTGAATCTAAACAGGTGAACAGTTTACCAAATCATGCGCCCAAGTGTTGGATCCATCTGTCTCCTGCAACTGCACTTGCTTTAGTCATTCACCTTAGAGAGGAAAATAGGATGCATCGCTGACGCAGGCGAGTTTGGAACCACAAGGACACTTGAGATGCCAGCTACACTTTAAACTCGCCTTGGTTTTATTTAGAGTTTTTTTTTTCCTAGTACGTTTCTTTTCCGGGGCCTGTTTCTGCCAAAGTTATATCTTGAAACGAGCTCTGTTTCATTTGGTTTTTGAGGAGCTACGTGTCTTTCTGTTCCTTGCCCCAGCTGCCCTTTATGTGAGGCAGAAACTTTTTTCTGCTTTGACATATCTCATTTAATACTTTTCAGTTTATGACGAATCAGGCAAAACTGGCTTTTCCCCCCCAGTAACAGGTGTGGGTTTGGTGGAATCTGTTTTATTTCAAGCTTCAGAAACTGTCCTGTGAGTGGCGGCCTTGAGAAATGTTGGTTTTAGCTGGTGCTATTTCTAGTTAAGAAAGGATCTTCTCTCCCCTTGTTTCCTACCTTTGTGTGTTGAGGGAGGGGGTTAGTTTAACCATGTGAAATGTGAAATTAGATCATAGCAGCATTATTTCTGTCAAGGTGTTTTATCCTTTAAATTCTGCAGGCCTAAAGGAGTTTGTAGGAAATTGGTTTAACATATTTTTCCTAAAATAATAACAGAGGAAATAATTTTTAATCTCAAGAGTGTCTTTATTTATTTTGAATGTTTCTGTTTGGTAGGTGGCCCAGGCAGATAGTGTCGTCGGTTGGCCTGTGTCGTTACGGTGGGAGGATCGACTGCTGCTGGGGCTGGGCTCGCCAGTCCTGGGGACAGTGTCAGCGTAAGTATCCAGGCAGGGGACTTCGGTTCCCTGGGAGGTGGGGCTTCCTCCTTCCTTCCTGGCTCCACTCCACGCGTCAGAGGGCTCGTGGCTGAGCGAGGCTCGGCCTTGCAGGTCTGACTTGGGAGTTTTCAAATACACCCCAGGCTCCTTGTTCTGCTGCTCTCCAGCCAGAGCCACCTGTAGCAAGGTGACAGCTCTGAAAGAGAGAGCCACTCAGAATGCTCATTTTAGCATTTGTCCCCAGTATCTCCAGCTCCTGCCTGTTTTCTCGTCAGGTTTATTCCTTTCTTTGCTCCAGGGTGTGAGATGGGGTAAGATAATGAGTCTAGACTATATTTACACAAAATAAACTCTGAACCTTCTAGGGTTCGTGTAATCCTCACCGTGGCCATTGTGTAAAGTGGCCCCTTTGTAAATCCTTCTTTTTTGAAGTCCGGTTGTATTGACAGGGTTCTAAATGGACCACCCAGTGCAATCAAATAAAACCTCTGGAAAAAAAATCATTTGTAAGTTCTATAAGTAATTAAGGTTAGGTAAAAGGTGCCACATCAGAACACTGGTTTTTACCATTCTCATGATCACAGATGGATATTTTGATGGTAAAATTTAGAGCCACATTACAAAGTTTGAGAAATTTAGGAAATTTCTTCCTAACATGTTATCAGGATCTTAAAATTTTGTCCCACTCTTCCTGCAATAAAAGTCCCCAAATGATGGAGTAAATGTCCAGGGCATGTTTAGAGTGTTCGGTGGGTGTGTGTGCTAAGAGACGGGAACTAAGTGGGGTTCTGCGTTGGAATATGTGTTTTATTGCTAACGAGGCAGGGGCTTGGAGCAATAAAAGAGGGTAGCTAAGCAGGCTAGAGCCGGCAGTGGTGGAGCCGCCTTAGGATTGGGTGGGCAGTGAAAAGGCTTAAATTTAAGTTTGGGAATAGCTAGGCGTTCCCACAGCTATTTTCATTCTTGAAAATGCTCATGATGTTTTCCTTAATTTTGTGAAAAAAGGGAGTGACAGTCACAGGTCGACTCTAATTGCACATACAGGGACCGTCTGTGGCTGAGGATGGAAAGGTGAAGACTAGTGTTTGTT